TTTTACACATGGGTAAAAGTCTGATTAACACGAGAGATTGAGAAATTTTCATTAGAAAGCCCCAAGAAAGACCCACTAACAAGTTGGTGACCTAAAATTAGGCACAACCAAGTTACAGAACAATTTGTGTGATATCGATCTAGGGAGACATTCTTTCCTAATTTATGTTTGTATGGTCTAAGGAGGGCAGTAACTTACCTGAAATGGGTCTCTGTCTCTACTATCACGTGACTGAAAGAGAGAAGGTTGTATGCAACCCGACGTTTGTATCGTTTTCCTGGCTCTTTCAATACCGACAAGAGAATTTGAATTTGAAGCTCTTTCCTTTCCTGCAAGAGAATTTGAATTTGGACCGAACCACTTGATGAGTGAGACAGAGTGAGGCCCGTATGCAAGCACTTGAATTTCTACTGAATTCTTCCACTTTCAAAATAATATACTAATGAAAACAATATATAAATAAATCAATAACATACTACCCTCATGATTACCAAACAAAAAAAATTATTCTATGCTCTCACTGTAAATCAATACTCAATGTGGTGGAAAGCATGCTTCGTGAGGCAATCAATCGCATTAGCCCTACTTATATTATAAAATTTGTATGACTGTAAGTTGAAATACAGACAGGTGAATACATAATAAAGCCAAAATTGCCACACTTGACAATTATGAGCAAAAGACCAAGAAGTTTAGACTGTTAACAAAGTCGTATGATAATAAAATGAGATTGAGACAACAGAATACTGAAAAAATAAATAAAATAAAATAAAGCCAAAATTGCTGCACTTGACAATTATGAGTAAGATAACAGAAGTTTAGACTGTTCTCAAGTCATTTGATAGTATGATAAGATGCAGACAGGTTTATGCATAATAAAGCCAAAATTCCACACTTGACTATCACAAGTAACATACCAAAACTTTAGACTGTTTCTCTAATCATACGATAGCAATATGATATACAGACAGCTGAATGCTAAAAATCAGTGTACGAGTCTTACTAGTAAAATACCAAAAGGTTCTCCAGTCTCCACAAGAATTCCAGCCACTAAAACAAAGGAAAATTCAATCTCATTCACGACCAACAGTAGTCTGAAGCAACTCAAATATAGATAGACATGTAAGATAGTCAAGACATTAAGGGTTACCCAACTGGACAAGCTTCACCTGATCAGATAACACTCATCAGCACAAACAGAACAGAAGAGCTCTCGCCCGATAAAAAAACACCCCAGAGATTCAGCAACTGAACAAGAAGATGGGTCGCTGCGATATCGATGATGGGACTTGAACCAGGAAAACTTTAGTGCTCCTATGCTTTGAATTGCCATCTATGTAGCAGCACCCTCCTTAGCCTGCCTAATAGCAACGGCAGCAGATGTCATCCATGGCTTTCAACACTGGAAATTATGGTTCCCTTCCAAATGTTTTTCCATCAATGCCACTTCTTTGACCTTGATAAATGTTGCAAGTACATTATCAATGGATCTCAATAACCCAATGCCTAGCCGTCAGGATCAGCTCGCAAAGCTCAGCAGTTCTGTCTTCATTTGCATAGTTATGGGTAGCCTTCTCTTGGAGCAAGGGAAAATAAAGAAATCACGATGAATGCAATTGCTTTTGGAGTACTGGTTATTACACTCATCATGAATATCTGCATACAATTAGTTACTGGTGCAATCTTTGTTTTCTGCAGAAGGGTGGTAAGTAAACTTAGAGAATGTCTGATGAAACAGCGTTCAGCAACATGTACTGCATCTGGAGCTTCCTGTCTTTTGAGTGCCATGATTTTAGCAGAAGCCATGCTTCAGACTTACTTGATGCCTTGTTCATTGACATTTTGCAATGGCAAGTCTGGCTACAAGTGGTCAACCACTTTGGTTCTTGCTACACAGATAATTGCAGTGGGAATTAGTACAATTGCTCCAGCATCTAGATGGCTCCTCGCAATAAATTGCATGTGTTCAAAAAGAGGAAACGAAAGATACAAAAGTAAATTCAAAGTAGAAAATCACTGGACCCAGAGTCTAGTAGAATCGAAAGAAAGTCCATTAACGTTAAGGATTAAAAATAGGCGAAGCTTGCTGGCAACTTGCTCAGGACACAATAAACAAATTTTTTGACATTTGTATTGGATTGCAGAAGGGGAATGACATAACAAGAAAGGCAATATAACTCAAGGACAGAGTCACAGCAAAACCCAAACCTAGATCTTAGCTGTTATGTTGTGCATCTTGAAGGTGAGGATGCATTGACTGAGCTCATGATAAGAAGCAACTGTGATGTTACTGATCATTGGTTTAAGAAGAGTAAATAAATAGAGCCAAAATTTATCACGAAACTGTTTGAAAAATCAACATTTTCACGAGGATTCAAAGGAGTCGCAGATTTTGACAGTAAACAACTTCCTTTTGACAGTAAACAACTTCACTTGTCTAGATTTTGAAGAACCGCCAAATTGTTTGGCTCTACCTGTTGTTACTGCTCTTGCACATCCAAGCATTAGCAGTAGTTGAATAAAAGAGTTGATGAGTGGTGTCAACAAAGGGCTCATGTACATAAATTTTGATTGAAAAGTACCTGGATAGTAAAGAAGATGTCACCAACATCAGGAAGACAGCAAATATGGTGTCGCTAGGATCTGATATCTATCATACAAGGCTCAATGTGGATCTCCACAAATTGTTGCTTCAGGGGAAGAGCTCAAAGGAAACTGCAAAGTTCAGATCTGAAGAATCTAGAAAGAAGCAAGTAGGTTTAAGGGATATTCCTTCAAAATGGCCTGTTGCAGAATTGGCTGCTAACTCCATGTATAGGATAAGCCAAACTCTTCTGCTAAATTGTGAGGGCAGCGTCAACCAGACAGGTGAGAAATTATTTGAAGCACTGAACAGTCATGATATCTGACATTCTGGCTGCTTTCCTCATAAATTTAGAGCAGTTAATAAGAATGAAGTGTTCAAGGAGAACCATTAAAGAAAGGGAGGAAACTTAGAGGCATGCAGTTAACATTCTTGGTAAAACTGAACATTCTTGACACTATATACCAGAGAAGCCCGAAAAGTATGGATCCTCGTCAAATTTCATGCATAGATGACTGGTGTTTGTTGCAAAAAAATGAAATCCTTTAGGCCAACCCTTTTTTATCTCCATCAGAAGGTGACAGAGTCTCTGTTCTTTCAAGTGACTTCTACATGATCATTGACTAGATATCAATGTATTAAAAGCGTGAGGCATGGGCAAGGCATCCGAGGGATAGCCCAGCCTAGGCGTGAGGTGTGAGGCGAAGCCTCACGGGGCCTAAATTTTTAATATATGCACTGAGCGTACACATATATTATATTAAAAAAAAAAGATTATTAATCAATAATCACCCTGAGCACACACATACATTATAAATACATACACACACACACACACACACACATATATATATACATACATATATTATTATATTATATATATAAAATAGAGGATGAAAAGCACAATGAGCACACATATAACAATGCAACAGACAGCACTCACATCCATTATATAAAAAAATAAAAATCAGAAAAAATGGCAGAGAGACGATAGTGCAAGGAAGAGGTATGAGGCAGTTAAAACCCTACCCAAAATTTGGGTTTGGGAGTAAAAATAAAAATAATAAAAATAATCCCGAGGCGCGCCTAGGCAGCTCCAGCGATGCCTTCCACCCACTCCCTCAAAACAGAGGCAGCAACCCTCAAGCCCAGCCTCACAGGGCGCCTAGATGCACCCTGAGGTGAACCTTTTAAAACATCGCTAGATATACAAGCCAGGAGTTTAACAGAGTAGCTTATGAGTTATGATCCACAAGTTTCTTCCATTATTTATGCGGATATTTGCAGGTGATGTAAATATGTAATAGTAATACACATTATTACAAAAAATGTGTAATGCAGTATGTGGATATATGCAACTGAAGTAAATATGTAAGACACGATGTCGCAGAAAATATGAATGCAGCATGTGGTTATTTGAAACTGATTCACATGTTTCAACTTTTTCTTCACATTTTTCTTGATGTGGATATTTGCACCTGATGTAAATTTGCAATACAGTATGCAGCAGAAAAACTAAATTCGGAGTAAGATATTTTCTTGTTTAATTGAACATCTTTGTATTTCCTGATTTCTTTCACTAGATTTTAAAATATACCATAAAAAACGCTGCTGCACATAAAAGATAACACATGTGTATACGAAAGGAAGAGCAACTTATACTATATCTACTAGAAAGCATTACAATTATGAATCAAGCAATTATAAGAAAAGATGGTTTGTAACTGGATTAAAGGCAATCGAGTTCAAATGTGGTTCCCGAATCATTTGCATAAGGATTCAGAATCAAGCTTGAATGCATATTCTTCCTTCATTTAATTACTCTAATTGTCAAACTCTACTTCTTGACATTTCAAGTGATATTCATTCTCCTTGATTCAGTTGTTTAATAAGAAAAGGTTAACAGCTGCATTATTTTCAATAAGAAATTCAACTCATAATGGACTACACAATCGGATATCGCATTGAATTGTAACAATCCATAACAACTAGACATCATATGAACACAGAAACATCTACTCATTCTCCTAACAAGGAGCAAGTTGCTTGGTGTAGAATAAATATATCATGAAACTGTTCGAGAAATCAACATTTTCCCAAGGATTCAAAGGAGTAGCAGATTTGAAAGTGAACAAGTTCCATGTCTAAGGCCAAATTGTTGGGTGCTACGTATGTGACACTAAAGTAGTTCATAAAAGTGGTAGCTTATGATTCACATGTTAGTATAATCTTTTCTGGTTTGGTTAAATATCTTCGTATGGAAAAATACCTACTAGAAGGCATTAGAATTCTGAATCAAGTGACGATAGAGGAGATTGAGTTCACATCAGAATCCCAAATCATTTGCACAACGATTCAGAATCAAGCTCAAATACATATTCTTCCTTCACTTGGCTCTAACACTTCACTCTTGACATTTCATGGGATGCTTATCCAATAAATATGTTTGGGGTTCTTTTTTCCATTAGAATTGCATCTTATTTACCCTTACAGATGAAAAACTAAATTGCACTAATTATGTATTCCGTTGGCAAGCGGCCCCTTAGCACAGTGGTGGAAAGGTGTTGAGCCCTTGCATTACGGCGTGAGTTCGAACCCCGTCGACTCCTAACCTAACATCTAATCTAACCAAATCTATCGTTTGACAAGAAAAAAAATAATTATGTATTCCGTTGGATTCTACAATGTATTATTACAACTCCCAATCCATAATCAACTGCACATGCAAACAGAAATATTTATCAGTTGCATTAACTAAAAAGCAAGTTCCTTGGTGTCGTCGACTACAATTAAAACTTTCCTAGCCAGATTTCAAGCTGTTCATCCCTTTTAACTGGAAGGAAAAATTGCTGGAAGCATTTAAAGCTTGGGAATATCTTAAGGATACATATTTCGCTTTGTTATTGGATTACCAAGCATATTCTCAGATGATGACTTCAGCTGCACAGAAGACATTACCTATAAAATTGACACAATAGTATCGATAACAATGCAAATCGAAAAAAAATTCAAACATGAAATCAACCTAATTCAGAGTAAATTCCAGACACAATGAATAGCCAACAAAGCAAACTTTAATAAATTTCCTTTCATTTCCTACACTTTCTCAGAAACCAAACAGCAAACTAAATCAATTCACAAGATAAATTGCATCCCAAGATTTCCACCAAAACCTAAATTAAACAAAATTCCCAAACAAAAATACCCGCTTCGCTCCACAATGAGAAGTGAACCTGACTCGATAACGGCGTCGTAGCAGGGCGAGATCTAGTGGTCGTCCTCCTCCTTCTTCTTGGGCTTGCGGTAGTTCTCTTCGATGTGTTTGGCGATCAGAAGGCCGGTGGTGGAGAGCTTCTGGATGTTCGGAACGTCGTAGTTTTGGGCAACGTAGACGCCGAACACTGTGCCCATTAGAAACGAGAAGCTGCTTCTGATTATCCCCATTGCTTTCCTAAAAGTGCTTTTGCGTTGGGCCTTGGAAAAACCGAAAAATTACCTCGAATTAGGGTTTGGGTTTTCGGGTTTGCGTTTGGGATTTTCGGATTTGAATCGCTGTATTGTGTGCGAATTGAATTGAATTGAATTGAATTTATACGGGTCAGATTCTTGCTCATCACTCTTTCTTGGGAAACGGGTCAAAGACTCACAGCTCCTCCTTTTCTTCCTCCTTAAGACAAAAATCATATTACTGCGCAAGACAACTCTTTTCTAATGGTTTATGTTGCTTTTATCTGCTCTCATAAATCGGATAATTAGAATTAAAATTTGGGTTGATTACATTTTGCATCCACATAAAATTGAACACAAATCTGCGAGTCTAAAATAAAATTTACCCTTAAAATTAACAATTTCAATCAAGGGTTTGATGAAAAGATTGGGTTCGGATTGAAGTTTACAATTATTAGAAAATAAGTTACCTGTTGTAGGTCTATTTGATTAAACAATTTTATGGTTTAGAGAGAGAGAGAGAGGTTTGGCGGCAATTAGAGAGAGGAGAGAGTGATTTAATTGTGAAGTGTGTTTGTATCACCTCATTGTGCCTTTATTTATAGTAGTAGGATGGGTAAAAACTTTTCCCTTTAGGATTACAACATTTAATAGGTAATCAACTCCTAATAGAAATATAAGATACATTATCATATTTATTAGGATTTACACAATCACATTCTTATTCTAAATATTATTGGAGCATTACCCTCAAAATTAACAATTTTAATCAAAAAAGGGTTTGACAAAGAGATTGAGCTCAGATTGAAGTTTACAATTATTAGAAAATTGACAGGAAAACCATAATAAAGAAGTCATTGATAAGTGCATTATTTTTTATTATTTCATATCATTTATCCCTATGTTTTGTTAACGAATTGGTCTTAAAAGAATCTTATTACTTTCATTTTCTTAGTTTCAGCTAATCTGCGCACACAGGACATTTTTGGTAATAATTCGACTTTCTAGAGGAGTTTTGAAGCAAGGCCATTTGGAGAAGGAAGCTAAGAGGCTGATGATCGTTGTATCTGAACTTCATAATTTTCCATAAAGCCGAACATTCCAGTTTTCAAAGTTAATTCCACAGAAGTAGTTTTCCCGTCATAACTGTGCAGCTGTGGGAGAATGACGAGTTGAAGGTTTTTCCGATTTTTCCTAGTGGCGTGCGATATATGCCTAGAACAATAAGAGATAAAGCTATGTTTCCTGTATTTTTACATAATTTTCCAGAAGAGAAATCGACCTTAAACTTGACGTGCAAATCAGATGACGTGTTTCCCAAGCCAAGAAGGATTCTTTCCTAGTTTCTCTCATTGATTATTTAGGAATTTGTTTTCTTTTAGGAAAGTTTCTACCAGACTTTTTAGGGTTTTAATAGAATAAATATAGTGCCTAGGCTATCTAAAAAAAGTGAGGACTTAATACACAAAAAGTCGTCCAAAGTGAAGGAGGGAAGCTTAGCGTGCTTTTACCATTCTTTTCCGGGTATCTTCTTCCATGACTTCTTTTGTGATTTTTATTATGACTAGGTGTAACTAAACTAATTTTCTAAGGTTATGATAAAACCATGACATGATTATTCCCGAAGTATCTTGTTGATTATTACATGCCATGTTTAATTCTTAATCTTTGTGTTTAATTTATTCTAGTTTCGAATGTTCTTGTGACTGGCCATCATTGTGAACTTGTTTCCAGATAATTAGATAAATCTAAGAGGATGACTAATCAATTAGATTTATTAGATCTAAGATCAAAAAGAGTAGACAAACTAGTGAGGATGACCAATATCAAACTAGTCCTACTTGGTTGACATGATTCTTCAATGCTTAATGGGATTTTATTTGTTTAACTGTATGCCTAACCAATAGGATATAGTTGTCACATATAGACACACGAGTTGATGCCTGACCACGGATTAATTCATATCTTAGAAAGAACAACCTTAAATATTGGCAAGGTAATTGGATAGTAATCGGCTTGAAGAAAAGGGAATAAGATTGTTATTGGTGGATTCATGACCTTAGACTTTCATTGATGCGAACTAATTAAGCACACAAATTAAAACCCTCTTTTGACAATTGTAGCAAAGATGCAAGTAGGGATCGTTCTAGACCGGGGATTAGGAGGGATTACTAAATCACTTGGAAACTGACTCAAAAACGTAAAACAAACGTTAAAAACACTAAATTAGACTCAAAGAATGCAAAACTAAACAATAAAACACTAAAACAAATCAAAAGACTCAAAGAATACAAAACACTTATAAACACAAACTAAGACACTTTCAACTAAATTAGACACTAAAGTAAAGGGGGATTGAGGTTTTGACGAAATTAAACTAAATGCAACGATTGTAATTTAAAGGCAGAATGTAAATATGAATGTGATGAAAATATGGATGAATGCTAGCTAGAAGGTTCTTCTCCACACATGTCACACTTGCATACAATTTGATTTTCAGTTGGTCTTTCGATGAATTATGAAACTCAACACCCCGGGTTAATTAGGTCCGCTTAAATTAACCGTCAAGTTTTCCTTAAGTTAATGAATTGGTTGGGTTAGCGCAACGCAATTCAAAACATTCTCCAAAAGTCCTTTACGTGAAAAGCACAATAAAGATACAATCAAAGATCATTAAGCATCATGAAAACTATAAGTGTCGACGAGGCATTCGTTACTATGATGAGCATGAAACTAGTGCCAAGAATTCATTTAACGCGATTGTTTATAAGCAACCTCCACTACTTGTGAATATAAGTTCATAACTATTAGGTGAAATTCACTTATATTCTAGCGTCATATTCATGCATGAAAATTAAGCGTGCACTCTCAATCAACATACATAAATAAGTTATCGATCAAGCAGTTAAACAAATTGAATTCACCATTCATGAAATTCCAACCAAAAGTAATCAATTCATATTGAAAGCATAAACATGGTTTCGAATCACCCCCTAGCTAATTAGGAATTTAGCCTCTCATGTTCACAACAAGAAAAATAAAATTGAATTTAAACATAAAGCACAAAGGATTGATTACACCTAGAACGCCCAACGAATCCACTTGAATTTCTGCGCGTCTAAGTCCCTCTTTCTTCTTCTCCTTGCTGCGGCAGTGAGGTTTAGGGAATTTCTGGATGTTATTTTGGGTTGGGGATGGATTTAGGGAAGTGTGGTGGTGCGGCAAGGTGGTGGAGTGATGGAGGAAGGTTTGTATGGTGGCTGGAAGGGTGGAGAAGGGTGCGGACAGGTTGGAAAGTTGCTGGAATGGCAGGGAGAAGTGCGGCTGTTGGGAGAATTTTTAATGGGAAAAGGCACGGCTGGAAGAATAATAAAAATAGGAAAATGGTGGCTGCCAATTGTGTAGAGAATGGGTGTGGCTTAGGGAAGAAAAATGGGAGAAAGTGGCTGGAGTTTGCGGCTGTGATTGAGAAAAGGTGAATGAGATTTGCGGCTAGGTTGAATGAAATAAAATGGGATGGTGGCTGATTAGAATAATGAATATGGTGGCTGCCACCATTAGGGTGAATAATAGAATCATTTTTTATGGTCAATGGCTGATGGGGGGGGCCACGGCAGAGAAGAAAAAATGGGAGATTGACTTATGGTGGCTGCGGCACAAGGGAAAATTAGGTCAATGTGGGGGTGACGGTTTTTGGGAAAATCCTAGGGTGAATGGCTGATTGAGAATTAAATGAATGGCTGCGGCAATTAAGATAATTGGAGAGAATGTGGCTGCGGAATCAATGTGAATTCGGGTGAATAATTAATGGGGGCCACGGCTTTTTTAAGGGAATTAGGTTTTTGTTTTCTGCATGGGAGTTCGGCTTTTGGGAGTGAATAATGGGATGGTGGCTGCAAGGTTTTGTGTGTGAAAAATAATAGAATGAATAGGAACCAAACTAGGGTGCGGCAAGGTTAAGTTTATATATGGTTTAGAAAAATTAAAACCCTAGCTTATTAAAACTAAATCAAAGGCTTGCAAACTTAGGAAATTAAATCAAAAATATAAAGGTGCGGCTAGGGTTTAGAAATTGGGCTAGGGCCTTGGTCTTGTGTACTAAAGTGTATACAAGGCCTACAAAGTGGCTAGAAAATACGGACGTTTAAGTTTAGGAAAGGTTACCGAAACGGGAAACTTAGGGTTAACTTTCCTATATCAAATAGGAAACCTTGTTTGAGTAGGATTCCTCGTTTTGGTAAGAATTCATCGTTGGAGTAGGAATTCGTCGTTTCTTCAAATCTTCAACTCATTCATTCCTCTTTCGCTCCAAAAGACTCCAATTTGCATCTTCTTGCACACTTTAGCCTTATAATCTGAAAATACACAAAAGTAGCCTTAAATACTAAAATAACTTAAGTAAACACAACATAAATGCACGAGAACAAGCTAATTAAGTCGCATGAATATGCTCCTATCAAATTCCCCCACACTTAACTTTTGCTAGTCCTCGAGCAAAACAAAACAACTAAACTAAACAAAACGAAACAAAACAAACAAAACATAACCTAAACCTTCCAACGTTTGCCTCAGGGATTTCCAATGAAACATGACATATCAAAGATCATTACTCACATAGCTTTTAGTCTTCCCTCCCCTCAAGCATATACTTAATCATAGTCACCATTCACTAGTTCGCATTTAATCAATTAAAACACATTTTGAATGTAGTCAAATGCCTTAGAGAATTCCCTCAATTCCTCACTAGTTATGCACTCAATTTTCACTCAGATTTTCTGACTACACACCCTACACTAGTTATATGTGAGAAGATAGATGTAAACATGAAAGACTAGTACTCACATATGTTATAACAAGGAACGCAATTTCTGGAGTAATTAAATGTGTTTAGATATGATCTCATGAATGGAATGCTACTACTTAGACGCGAGAACCAGTGACACCATATGCTCATACCAAATTCAAACTCCACAATTGAAATGCACAACACTCAAGATAGAAGTCAAGGGTTGTAACGGGGCTTGGGGTATTGGCTAACAAGGAAAGGTAGGGATAAACAAAAGTTCTTTAAGCAATAGCAAGCAAAGAAATGAAATTGAGACTTAGAATCCACTTAGAATGCAGAAATCAACTGTTAGACAAATAGGGGAGATTCAAACAACTCTTAGGGCCTAATTCATTGTTTTGGGCCCTTACTTCAACAAACAATA